AAATTAGATCATCTTGCATGCATTAATTAGTAATTTTAGGTAATTTTAGGCAATTTTAGGCAAGTGTAACTTCAGGCGCCTGAAGTTACAAGTATCAACTTCAGGCACGACATCTGCGAAGTGATTGTCGGTGAGTTAATGGGATCCCCTTCTCCATTACGTAGCCGTGTTTGCATGAAAACCGATGTGGTCTCGGTTCCCAACTTCCGTTATCGGGGCAGGGTTGTAGCACGTGGCATGTAACCCTGACCACTCTCCTTTGTCTTTTCGATCAGTTGACTTCTTGTCAACCTGCAGGGATACCCCGATATCTTACTCTTATCACTCTGGGCCTAAAAGTAAGTTATCGGAATATTTTGTTGTTATGTTACTGATTCGATCTACCTCCCGATATCTTATCAATATGCTGCCAATATGTATTGATATACATTAGGTATTTGGCAAATCTATGGCAAACTATTGGGTACATATCAGTAATCTTGTTGAAATTGGAGCGTAGAATCGATTTCCCGATCACGTGATTTTCTGATGTCAATAGTCTTTGAACAAAAAAAATTAGTTTATACTTTGATTTAGGTATTAGAAAGAGCTATAGTGTAGTAAAATTGTCCAAGAAAATTTTTTTGTTAGAGCATTGATCGATTTTGTTACATATAATGATCAAACTCGGCTGTTAATACGAACGAATAATGATATTGTTTAAATTGTTTATTATCAACAAAGCTTCACTTTCTCTACTTTTATAAATATAATTATTAAATTAAATGACACCACTTATTTGATCTAATCATATATATGCAATTAACATACAAGTATAAATGTTAATATTATTGTAATATTGTAAAATAAAATATCAAACTTTGTATCTTATGTAATACTGTAGTAAAATTGTATATTTTCAAAAAGTATATGTTATGTACTGTACTTATCTAGATGATCAAGCGAAGCAAACTAAACAAAGAAATACTAACTATATTTTGTGATTAGAAAACGAAATCGAAGCTAAGCTTAAATAAAAGAACTGGCATCAGTCTGCAAACCTTTTTTTAAGATCATTCTTGTCACATATTGCATAATGTATTGTAGAGTTAATACCTCAATCTGGATATATTTTTATCCGGATTTAAAAAAGTGTCGTAGCTCACCCACAAAAAATTTTACCCCCTCGTGATTTTTATCCAATTGGGACGTTAAGGTTAGGGGTTAGGGTTATTTTAGATTAGGTTTAAGTCACGTTAGGGGTAGATTAATTGATTAATGTTTTTGTGGGAGATCTACAGGCGTTCCAAATTACCGTTATTCGACAATTTTTGCCCAATATTGTATACAACATATATAGCCTAATTTTTGTGATTTTGTTTAGTTTAGATTATGGGTACTATTATAATATACATTACAAGGGCACCGTACAACTTTGAGTTCAGATAAGACTAAAATTTATATTTTGTATATAAATTTTCAGAAAATCAAGTTATTATATGTACCATAAATCAGCACGAATATAATAGATACATAGATTATTTCAAATATTTCGATTAATAAATAATATTGACTGAATCGACTTGAATAAAAGATTGTTTATTGACTAAATCAGCTTGGACAGTAAACTAATAAAGCTAAGTGTATACATTGTTTTCGAATACTTTGATTAACAAATTATTTTATACTTTTCGATTAAATTAACCTAAATAAATGACTTAATGAGAAATGACAGATAATTTATAGTCTTACCGAGATAGAATAACTTAAGGAGATGCAAAATTACTTTTATCATATTTTAGATTATATTTATAGACTGATTTAATATAAATATAAAAAATAGTTTTTAAATACACCCACTATTATGATCATCACGAAGAATAAGTACTGTTTATTTTTCACAACGGCGGGAATAAGAAAGATCCCTAAATTTCCGAGTTGGAATGGCCGGAATGCATCGTGGTTAGGGTCGGATTAGCAGGAGCTATTATCAGTTGGCATTTTTTACTTAATGAACGACTATGGTTTCATTAGTAAAATTCTTAATAATCTTGGGCAAAATTGATCAATTCCGGCCCATCCGACCCAGAATTTTGGGATCTCCCTGTATGAGTTTAAATTCTCGGTTATATGAGGGCCGGGAGGGCTTTTATATAACCGAATATCTATCGGCTTATTTCCCGTAGTGAAAAATAAGGGTGTTGTTCTTTATTTTGTATGAAGTCATGATGGCGAATCATATATTTTTTTCTTTTTTGATCTACAAATTTCACAAATTATGCATCATACACGCACAAGATGCACATGTGCAAGTGTTTTTTTGGGATTTTTTGAGATTTTTAAAAAATCTCTTAAGTGTGCAAGTAAAGCTTTTTAAAAAACTTGCACAAAACACATTTGTGCAAGTGATTGCTTTTTTGAATTTTAAACACTGTTTTCAATCCGATAAATTAAACTAAATTAAACAAGATCCAGGCCCGTCATGATGTGATTATTTGATATGGCCGAGATCATAACGCAGTATCTGTACAGGAAGAACCAGGTTGGAATGCATCGGAATCATGGTCATTTATTAAGTAAAAAAACGCATTCCGGATCCTTCTATAAAAAATAGAAGAATCAGCCACAAAAATTGACCAATGACATACTTATCCGACATGTCTTATCTGAATACCGAACGATTTTTGTGTAACTTGTTCACCAGGTGAGTGTTAAAAATCATTTGTAATACTTATCATTATCGTTATAAACTTCAAAGCGCTACACAAAAAAAAGATTGAATGCAAATCTACCCTATATACCTCACAGAAGCATTTCACAACATATTTATATAGGTTACTGGGTTTCTTTTGTGCGTCTTGTTAAAACCCGATTCTTTTTATTATTAATCTAAGTACTTATTTAGTAAAACGAGCTCATATAGTTCTAACTTTTTTTGATTTACCTTGTGGGACTTGAGGCTTTCATTTGAGGAGCCTAAATCTTTATATTAGTTAGTGGCACAATGTCATGACTTAAAGCCTCTTTTTTAAACAAAAAATTTATCAATCGATTTTTAGTCATGTGTAAATTGTGCCAATAGTTAAATAGTTTACAATATTTGTGCATGTACTCAGAATCAATATCCGACGAATTCCGACAAAGTGTCACACTCAAGGAGACAACATACCTTCTTTTTCCAACACCATTTCTTACTTTGGTCCTTTGCACATACTTTCGTGATTCTTTCGTTTCGAATTCTTTTTCTCGTAACGTCCCACATAGTTTGTGTCTATCCCAAATGTTCTTTCCTTAATCTCTGAACCTGGTTGTGACACTCCCTTTATATTCATTATATATTGGAATCTAAAAAAAAGAAAATTTATTACGACCTATTTTCGGAAAAGATTATTATTTTGACACAACCATGTCGAGCGAAACGAACACTACTGAAGGGTCCTCGTCCTTAGCTAACGAAACGTTGTCTGTTACTACTTCCAATGAAAACGCGGCTTTAATGCAAGAAGATTCCGCAGAAAAGCAAGCTCGCAAAAAGCAAAATCGACAAAACTGGAAAAGCTCATCTAAGGGCGACGGTAAAGAAGTCAAAGCAAACAAACCTACTGTAACTTCTGATGATAATAGTAACGACAACGTCGATGAAAAAAAGAAAAAGGAAAAAAAGGGAAATAAGAACCGTACCCTCTCCACAGATGGGTCCGATCAATCTAAAAATAAAGAGGCCGAAGTATTAGATATAAATGTTGCCCAACATCAACGTCGAAAGTCAACTGCTAACACTTCCGACATATCAAACAAAAATAAAAATTCTAATAACAATAATATTGATAAGTCCGTTCATCGCCGCGGTAAATCAATGGCAAACGTTGGGGAGCTTCAAGGTGTCTCTTCAAAAAATGGGAACGGTAAATCTAAAGGTAGTAAAGATGATTCTGAAAACAAATCAGAAGCTTTAGAATCTTTGCAGCAAATTATTGCTAGTCTCAAATGTTTACCGGCAGTTCCATCTAAGTCTCAAAAGTCAGAAAAAAGAAAAGATGGTGATGATAGTTCCGCTGACTTTGCTTCTAAACATAAACTTCACGAGTCGAATGCATCTGGTACAGGAAAGCGGACTAATGCGCCTTCTAAGCAACATAAAAAGGGTACTTCAGTATCATTTTCATTCCCTCTGACAACAGCAGTTACTACCTCATTAAAGTCTATCCCCGATTCAGAAGATGGTAAACCTATTGACATAGAAAATGCTTTGCAAGACACTATCTCCTCATTGAGGCGCATGAGTCTTGATAAAGGCAAAGTTCAGAAAGAAAAAGAAAGTGATAAGAAAAAAGATGAAGAAGATGATGAGACTGAAGAAGAAAAGAAAACACGGCGTAAAAAGAATTCTATGAATAGAAAATCTCCTAATCCTGATGACATGGCACAGTCTAGCATCGATAAAAAACAAGAATTTGATTCTCCTAAGTCTCCATTTGATTTCAAGAAATCCACGGACGACCAACGTCAACTAAATACGAAGAAGACCCATCGTCGTCATCAATCTCTTGGTTATACGTTATCTACCTCTTCGTCTTCAACATCCATTGTTAATCCTAATATTCCTATGCATGGTCGACGCCACAGTGTAGCTCTTAATGGTAGCAAGGATGTGCTTAAAGAACTTGAAAAGAACCAAGGCAGACTTGCTGTACCGGAAGTGAAGGGCCATCGCCGTAGCAATTCCAGAAATTTTGAAGGCAACTGGAGATCAAGTAAGTAATAAATATACTGATGATACATTAACTACGACAGCCTCTCGAAGCTTTTAAACGATCCTTCAGACCAAATTTAAGAAATTGGCTCTTTATAAAAATAATGAATGTGTTGTGATTGATTTGTTATTCCAACAATACTCAGCTGCCTCGCCCCTTTCTGCCTTAGCTCAACCATTCCAGCCATTTCCGATACCTAAATTTGGTGCAATTCAGAAGAAACAACAACAGAATCAACAAAATTCTAACAATCAGCAACAAAGGAAGTCTCTCTTTGCACCTTATCTTCCGCAAGCCTCTCTACCTCCACTTCTTAAAAGTTGCCAGCTTGTTTCCGGTGTTTTACGAATTAATAAACGTAATCGATCTGATGCCTATGTTTCTACCGAGTCACTCGATGCTGATATCTACATATGTGGATCCAAGGATAGGAATCGTGCATTAGAAGGTGATGTGGTCGCGGTAGAATTATTAGATCCTGATAAAGTTTGGCAAACTAAAAAAGAGAAGGAAGAGAAAAAGAGGAAAAAAGAAGAAAGCGCCGGAATCGACAAAAAAAAAATTGATAAAAAGAAGGACGACGTTGAAGTTGAAGGGCAAGGTCTTCTGCTTTTTGAGGATGACGACATTGTTACAGATGAACAGAGACCAAAATATTGTGGTCACGTTGTTGCAGTTATGGAACGAATGCCAGGACAGCTTTTTTCTGGGTATAATTAATTATTCAATTGTGACTTAGAATTTGTTACATCCATATTATACACTCTGCTTAATATACGGCAATTATATATTAATAATATATATATATTAATTCATGTAGAACACTTGCTCTTTTAAGACCGTCATCCACTGCAACTAAAGAAAGGGAAGCAGCTGAAAAGGCTCGGAGAGAAGCCGAAGATAGAGCTGCTGGTATTGAACCTAAAGTAGAAGAGCCCCGGGAGGATAAAAAAGATGATAAAAATGAGCGTCCAAAAATTGTCTGGTTTAAACCGGTATATATAAAATAATTTTGGTTTTATTTTATTTTTTGTTTAATGCATTATTTTTTTTACCTGTTGGTCTATTATTAGACAGACAAACGTGTACCTTTAATTGCCATTCCAACTGAGCAAGCACCAAATGACTTCGTCGAAAATCATCAATCTTATGCTCAACAATTGTTTGTCGTAAGTTGAAATTACAATCTTAATTTATATTGTCGGTTTGAAAGTCACATTTTGGTTGCTTATACTTATTCGTAAAATTATACACATTATGGATGTTTTATATTCTATATTTAACAACAGGCTTGTATTAAGCGCTGGCCCATAACTTCTCTTCATCCTTTTGGTACTTTAGTGACTCAAATAGGGGAGATTGGCAATATAGAAGTAGAAACGGAAGCACTTCTTAAAGATAATAATGTTTCGTCTGAAGAATTTAATGAAAATGTGATAAAATGCCTTCCATCAATTCCCTGGACTATTCCTGAAAAGGAATTTGAGATACGTAGAGATTTAAGAACAACAGCTAGGATTTTCTCGATTGATCCCCCTACTGCAAAGGATCTTGATGATGCTGTTTCATGTTCTCGCCTGCCAGACGGAAATTACGAAATAGGTGTTCATATTGCAGATGTAAGTTATTTTGTTAAACAAAACAGTGCGCTTGATAGAGAAGCTCGTAAGAGAGCGACAACCGTTTATTTGGTCCAAAAATCAGTCCCCATGCTCCCGCCATTAATTTCTGAAGAATTATGCAGCTTAAACCCTGGTAAAGATAGGTAATGTTCAAAGAAATCAAAATCAACAATTGAAGTCGTTTGAAAATAGATATAAATATAATGTAATATCATATACAATTTTATAGACTTTCCTTCTCTGTAATTTGGAAAATGACACCAGAAGGCAAACATACAGAGACGTGGTATGGTCGCACTATAATTCGACCATGCGCTAAATTATCATATGAAAATGCGCAGGAGGTGATCGAAGGAAAACCTTTAAACCCTGAAGTCAAAATTTTTAACGATTACAATGCTAAAGAAATTGAGGCTGATATCAGAGTTTTCCACGTAAGTTAAATTAATTATCGAATTAATAAACAACGATGTGTTACATTTCTTTGACACTCTTCTCAGGGCCTTTCACAACGTTTGAGAGATCAACGACTTAAGCGTGGTGCGTTGTCTTTGGGCTCTATCAAACTAAATTTTGAGCTGGATGAACACAATAGTCCTATTGAATGTAACGTATACGACCATAAAGAAGCTAATCAGCTCGTCGAAGAATTCATGTTACTTGCAAACATGAGTGTTGCACAAAAAATATCTAGTGCTTTTCCCGAGCAGGCTTTACTTAGAAGGCATGCTCCTCCTATTGAGCGTAGGCTTGTGCGTATTATATTATCATTTGAGTCGTTCGTGTAAATAACATACTTTTTGCGATCTTATTTCTAATAAATAATTTCTATATATTAGAATGATTTTGTTGAGCATGTTAAAAGATTAGGATATGATTTTGAGACTTCATCTGCTGGAGCTTTACAAAGATCCTTCAATTCTGTTGATGACGATGGTGTTAAACAGGTATGAATACTTAGAAGAAAAATATCAATTTGGAAATGAGTAAATAATTATTAATTTATTTAAAAAAAAAAAAAATTTATATGTTTTTAAGGTTTTGAAACTTCTTGCAATAAAACCAATGCAAAGAGCTAAATATTTCTGTACTGGAACTTTAGACATTGCAAAATATCATCATTATGCTTTGAATGTCCCACTTTATACACACTTTACCTCT